TGAAAGAAATGTGGATTTCGCACCATTGATTTATGTTAATCCATCCAAAAGTTTTTTAATTTAAAATCAAAAACATCCGCCTCATGAAGTCCAGGAAGTCAGTAGGAACAATGAATGTCTGAACAACATTTAATTCAAATCCAAACAGTAGTGGTTGCCATATTTCAGTTTGCACCACAGTGTTGTATCACATTGTCATCCTAAGGCTAATAAAAACCAGCGATGCTTCCGGTGACCTTGGAGTTAGTGAACTTCACTTCTCCCCCACAATGCTCTGTGCTTCTCCTTTTTTATTCGCCAGGGAAACAGTGTGTGATTATCTCTGGTGATGGTTTCCCTGCGCCATTATAACGAGTCTGTCATTACTGCAGCTATCAACCCCCATCTGTACAGAAACCGAGACAGTAGAGACATCAGCACATCGCATAAGTTCATTAGAGAGTAGGATTCAGCCGCAGACTGGTTTTCACGGGGGAACAAAGTTAGAATCTAGCAATATAATGTAGATGGGTGGAGTCCGGGAGGAAGTGAGGCTTGTTAGCAAATGTGTGTTGGGCCTCATTGCCAACACAATGACTGTAATTGTGTGTGGTTGTGGGAGCTGGTGCTTGTCGTGGATTTTCTGTGTTACATTCAGAGAGACTGCAGTGTAGCTATTTCTGGTGTGAGGAGGGGAAAGCCTGCAGCTCTTTTATCGCTTCCTTACCCCCACACTCTTTTTTTGTATTCTGTGGCTCCCTTTCTTCCCTCGCTCCTCTCTCTTTCTCATCGGGGGGAGCTGTGGGATGTAGATAAGTCCTCAGACAGCAGGAACAGCAGGGAGCAGGGAGAAGGAGAGGGTTTCTGCCTTGTCTAGTAACAGCTTGCGTCACAGAACGTCTCAGGTTAATGGGGTAAAAATATGATTGATGGAGAGGAAAACTGGCTGTAGGCTGATTCTCATGTACAGTGGAGAGAAATCTGTATTATTATAACGTGGACAACGAAGGAGTTTATAGTGCTAGACCTGAATATACATACACTGAACAAGAATATAAATGCCACACTTTTGTTTTTGCTCCCATTTTTCATGAGATGAACTCAAAGATCTAACACATTTTCTATGTACACAAAATAACCATTTCTCTCAAATATTGTTCACAAATCTGAAAAAATCTGTGATAGTGAGCACTTCTCCTTTGCCGAGATATGATTATTGCACAGGTGTGCCTTAGGCTGGCCACAATAAAAAGCCACTCTGAAACATGCATTTTTGCTTTATTGGGGGGGTCTGGGGGGGTCCGAAAACCAGTCAGTATCTGGTGTGAGGGTTAGGCGTTAGAAGTTTTGAATCCTGTCACCGGGAAGCAGCGATAGGATTGAATGCACTCTCCATCGTTGTCACATTATCAAGGCATGTTCATCTCTCATTCAGGCCCATGGGAAACACTGTGTCGAATCTGGCTATCCATAGCCTCTCACATCTACGTCTCTGGGCCACAGACCATCTGGAGTTGGACTCCAGGACCGCTGCTTGAACGGATTGCCATCCATGGAGCAGGAAGTGAGTAACTAATGGAGTAAGTGTGTTTTTTCTTCTCAAAATGTTATATCTATGTTGAGTGAATCATATACAAATTGTGTTACCAGTTTCACCCACATACTGTAGTCCACAACGTTTACATGTAATAATGTATACACAGTTTTTAGATTGTAGGCTGCCAAGATACTTTGTTTTATAAACATTGTTGTTGTATTTGCTGCGCAACCAGAGTTGTTGCTGAAAAAAATCCCTGTGACCCCTGGATGTTGGGGTCAGCATGGGTTGTATCTTTGCTTTGACCAAGTAAGACTGCAGGTTTCTGTTTTTCCTAAATGCTGCAATTATACTGTGGTCTTGTAGAATGTCAGTTTTTCCTATAATGTTTTGAAAGTTGGATTTAATAACTTTGACTAGTTTAACAGCTGACTGGGAATATGTAGTGATCAAAGGCAATTTGGAGGAGACCAAAATGGGTTTCGTCTGTTGAAACGTTCTAAAACATTTTTTAGAAAAGAGACGCAGTGCTAACACCCCTCTAGCGATCAATGCTCCAAAAAGCCGCTCTTGCGTAGCATTTGAAAGTTCCTCTCTGTTACTGCATATTTCTATGAACCTCAAAAGCTGTGATTTAACCAATCCCGCCATAAGGGTGTGATGTAGGATGGTGGCTTGTTCTATGGAGAAGGGCATGAGTGTCTGTCTCTTTAAAAAATACTTAGCATTCTCCAATGTGTGTGTTTTATCGAAATTACCATTCCTTTGAATGTCGTGTGTTCCAGGAAATCACTGAGCGTGTAGCTGGTGATAGATTTTAGCGAGATGGCTTAGGGTTTGATTATATTCAGGGTGATTGACAATAGATCACAAAAAAATCCTCCTTTGAGTGAGACCACACCGCCCCAGATGTCCAATCCAGATATCTGAAGATAATATTGTGGGAAGTCTTTTAGCAGGAAGGACACAGGGCAGAGTTTCCCACTCTGCATAAAAATTTTTCGCATAGGCTGGAGCGAACTTCTTTCCCATGAAAGCAGTACCTTTAATCTGCAGGAAGAACTCTTCCATTATAAATTCAAAGTCATTACGTGTAAATTTAATCTCCAAATAATTGTAATAATTCCTTTGCTCTGGTCCTTCTTTTATCACAGGGTGTTTACGGAATATGTTTTTTATGGCGTTGTAATGCCTTCTTGGATGTCTATGTTTGTGATAAGCTGTCTACGTCCATGCGTGAATAACGATGACGTCATGAGGTTATATCGAGTTGTTTAATTCTGCTTAAAAAGTCATAGGTACATCCCTTTAAATAGCTGATGGTGCGGATAGATGGAAAGAGGATGTAAGGTAAAAAGTCCATATGAACTCATCCGTGCCACGTACGGTAGGTCTCGCTGCTCAAATTCAGATTATAAATGGGTCATGCCCGGAGGAATTTCGTAGGTAAAGGACCATTATGTCTTTCTTTGTGTATTTTCCGGGAGCAATGTAAAAATAGTCTGGCCCTGGTTGCAGAGTTTCCTGATAGAAACCCTCCATTTGTTTAGCATTAATGCATTTTTTGTCCATAATAGTGCTTGTAAACATCTTCCTCCCAACTAATTTAATTGTGTCCAGATAAATGGGTTTGTCCAATTTTAGAATTAATAATTTGGTCCGATAATTGTCTATAAGCTTCCGCATAAGATACTTGCTGCCCCGGTCCCATAACATACCGAACTAGCACTACCCTTGGTCGGCCTGGTTTGATAATTATTTCTTATCTGTCTGCTGAGCCCCTCCTTCAAGTGCTGCAGTTCCCTCC